ACAGTTGTAACATATAGTGAAGACAAAAACATGTTCCCTGAGCTCAGTTTTCTGGATTTTCTCATGTCAAACACAAGGAAATCTTCAAAGGATACACTGTTAAATGCAAATTTCATGAGTGCTTCAGATGAAGCATTCAAACAGATAAAAGTATCTGGCTTCTTCTGAGGTATGTAGATAGAGGAGCAGTGAGGTCTATATTTTCGCTGGGTGCGAAAACTGTTATTAATGAGGATTAGTTCTTGATGATCCTATATGTCTAAATTGTGATATTAAAAGAAACACATAAAATGGTGAAGAAGTAGCTGTTTATGAGCTTGTCAGCCAAACTCTCTGTCTACAGTACTGTGCAAAAGCCAACCCTCATTTATTTATATTTAGCTGGGAAAATAGGAATTAGGGGCAGTGATTTACTGAAACATGGAAACATAGGCATGAGTAGAGATGTCTGGACACATTTTCTATCAGGATGGTCCCACGGGGCTTTAGTAACTTTGAGGTCCGACCTCTGAGGAGGCCAATCCATGCCTAATAGTGTCCCATTGTGTGTTTTTCTGTCCAGGTATGATTTTACTGCATTGGCGGTTTGGGATTGGGATCACTGTCATGCTCCATGTTGCAATCAGATGTTTTCTAGATTGTATTTGATTGGATGGCAGATCAAAATTGTACTTTCCTATTTTCATAATTCTGTCAATTTTGACAAGATCTCCAGCACCACCAGCTGAAATGCAGCTCCAACCGTGACAGTGCAATACTCACTGTTCTGCCTCTCTACTGACGTCCTCCATACATTTTTAAGGCAATTTGAAAAATGTTAAAATTTCAGTTCTTCACTCCATCAGAGCAGTTGCAACTGATTTTCAATGTGGTTATAGTGTAATTTGGCACAGCTCAGCCTTTCCCCCTTGTTTCTCTTCCTTAAGAATGGCTTCTTGAGAGTCACCCTTCGACTGAGACCTTTTCTGATGAGGGAACAGTAGATGGATCAACTGAAGGTCCAGATGCACCTCTCAGGTCCTGTGTCTGGTCTTTGCTGTGTTTCTTTCTCCTTGTTAAGGACCTAACTGCACCTACCTAACTCCTAACTTTTGACCACTTTTTAGCTAAAAGTTGTTTAGGAATCACCTTATTGGTGTAAAAACACTATTTTCCCCTGTCAACCTGTTAAGTTTGGCATTTTGCAAAGATTTACCTAAAGGAATGTGACAGGCTGCTGGTAACAGAGCGCCTAAAGATACAATTTAAAATTGGTTCTTTGCTAAGTTGTCTGTTATGATTTGACACAACACAGTTTAATGTCCTGGTTTGGTGCCTCTTTTAATGCTTGAATGATTCACAGGTCAGTGTTAAGGGACAAGCAAACAACTGTGCTCTTTAAATCTTGAGGAGTGATTCGTCTTTAAAACATTGTATACATGTTATAGTTGTTTGAATGTAATTGTGATGTTAAAAAACATCATATTAATTGTATGATCATGTCTAAATGGTGGCCATTTAGAAGTCGGCCATCTTGGATACAACTTTAGTTTTTCCAATAGGAAGAGGGCCATGTGACACATCAAACGTATTGGCAATGCCACAAGAAAAACAATGCTTGGTTTCAACGTAACTTTATTCTTTCATGAGTTATTTACAAGTTTCTGACCACTTATAAAATGTGTTCAATGTGCTGCCCATTGTGTTGGATTGTCAATGCAACCCTCTTCTCCCACTCTTCACACACTGATAGCAACACCGCAGGAGAAATGCCAGCACAGGCATCCAGTATCCGTAGTTTCAGGTGCTGCACATCTCGTATCTTCACACCATAGACAATTGCCTTCAGATGACCCCAAAGATAAAAGTCTAAGGGGGTCAGATCGGGAGACCTTGGGGGCCATTCAACTGGCCCACGACGACCAATCCACTTTCCAGGAAACTGTTCATCTAGGAATGCTCGGACCTGGCACCCATAATGTGGTGGTGCACCATCTTGCTGGAAAAACTCAGGGAACGTGCCAGCTTCAGTGCATAAAGAGGGAAACACATCATCATGTAGCAATTTCAAATATCCAGTGGCCTTGAGGTTTCCATTGATGAAGAATGGACCCACTATCGTTGTACCCCATATACCACACCAAACCATCACTTTTGTTGTTCCAACAGTCTTGGAGGGATCCATCCAATGTGGGTTAGTGTCAGACCAATAGCGGTGGTTTTGTTTGTTAACTTCACCATTCACATAAAAGTTTGCCTCATCACTGAACAAAATCTTCTGCGTGAACTGAGGGTCCTGTTCCAATTTTTGTTTTGCCCATTCTGCAAATTCTGTGCGCCGATCTGGGTCATCCTCGTTGAGATGCTGCAGTAGCTGGAGTTTGTAAGGGTGCCATTTGTGAGTAGCTAATATCCGCCGAAGGGATGTTCGACTAATGCCACTCTCCAGTGACATGCGGCGAGTGCTACACTGTGGGCTCTTGCTGAATGAAGCTAGGACAGCCACTGATGTTTCTTCATTAGTGACAGTTTTCTTGCGTCCACATTTTGGCAAATCCAACACTGAACCAGTTTCACGAAACTTAGCAAGCAGTTTGCTAACTGTAGCATGGGAGATGGGTGGTCTCATAGGGTGTCTTGCATTGAAATCTGCTGCAATGACCCGGTTACTGCGTTCACCAGATATCAACACAATTTCGATCCGCTCCTCACGTGTTAACCTCTTCGACATGTCAATGGCTGTGAACAAAGAGAAACTTGTAAATAACTCATGAAAGAATAAAGTTATGTTGAAACCAAGCACACCATTGTTTTTCTTGTGACATTACCAATAAGTTTGATGTGTCACATGGCCCTCTTCCTATTGAAAAAACAAAAGTTGTATCCAAGATGGCCGACTTCTAAATGGCCACCATGGTCACCACCCATCTTGAGGAGTTTGCCCCCTCACATATACTAATGTGCCACAAACAGGACTTTAATATCACCAACCATTCCCATGTTATTACGGTGTATCCATATAAATGGCCCACCCTGTACAGTAACAAGCCTTTTTTGTTAATGTAGAAAGTAGAGTTGTCTTTTTGTTAAAATGCAGGAAGCAAAAGTAAAAAGCTGACAGACAAATAAATAGTCAAGCAAAGTAAAAATACCTGAAAAGTACAATAAAGCTTTGATTATCCTCTGTTGCAGATGCAGACAGCTGGAGGCCTGAAGACCGGGTAATCATTCCAGATATACTTCTTTGAAGTCTGCCGCCTGAGCGGATGCATGGTTGACGCATTGTAATGTAAATTCTCCACAGGTCACAAAAACAGGCGGGCATGCGGACGTCCGCTCACTGTCTGATGTCAAACTTTACGTCACTCAGACCTGAGTGGGCTCTAGCGAACACACTGACAGCAAAAGTATAATCAAGGCTTAAGAAAGTATTTGTACTTGATTATTTTCCCACCTCTGCATGGTGCGCTACATAGCTCCACTTCATGTCTCAGAACTCTTAAACTATTGAAAACCCATCTTTAATTTGATTATTTGAAAAAAAAATCTGTGCCCATAAAGAAACACATTTCTGTGATGCACCGTGCAACTGTAGTTTCGAAAGGTGTACTGAAAGTAGTAATAGTTTAAGTTGTTACTACAATTCTGATTTTTTAGTGATTTAAAAATCGGATACTTCGATGTATCTGCTCATATTTTTTCATTGCGACAGAAACAGATGGATTTTCTAACATTTGTTATTTATAGTTATTTATTTACTCATTTACGTTTTGTCTGACTGCGCTTATTGGTGTTTTATTTTGCAGAGTGCCCTCCAGTGGACAAACTGTGCAACATTAACGCTCATAACATGGTTGAAAGGAGTTCCTCTTGTCTCTTCTTTACTTTTAATTTTTATTTATAAATGCAGGCATCTATAGATCAGTAAATATCTGATATCGATCGGTAACATCGGTCCACTGATAAATTGGGCTGTAGTTGTTTGCAGTGTCCAGTTTCCAGTCAGATCCACTCCTCAGGAAGTACAAGTTGAAGTTTCAAAATACGACTTCACTAATCTGGATGATGTCACTATCTTTTGTCCATCTTTTACATACAGCCTATGACTGCACCACCCTTTTTTTCTGCCTTGTAATCGGTTGATAACATTATTGGGAGATTACTTTTTTCAGCTCCCTTATTCACAACAAATCCTCACAGTTTTACACTGGATGCCCTTCCTCACACAATCCCAAGAAGATCTCTGTCTCCTCCCAAGATTAGACTGGGGATTGTTTGCTTTTTAGGCAAATGTAAACCACCACACTATGTAGCACCTCGTTTGATAACATGAAAAACAAGAAAAGCTAGTTATTCCCATACAGCTAGTCTTCTTCCCTTCCACTAAGATATGGCTATTGGCACAGTTAATGCAACAGTAAGGATAAATTACCACACACAAGACCCACAATATTGTCCTTTGTGATATGGAACCTGAACACCTCATCATACATTACACAGTGCTTCAAATCATACTCACTGTTCATGTATTACAAAGTGTTTTCTTCCTTTATTTTGCAGCAGTGTATCAATCTGGCTCAAGCTCAGACAGTCTGGTGTTAGTATTCATAGCTTGTAGCCAAATCCAAACTTTTCACTGCAATCTTGTGACATGCAGCCCCGGAATCTATTTGATAACCCGCCACGAATAGGTGTTCCCTGCTTTGTCTTTGAAAAGTGATTGAAATTCCTCACACCTACACCCACTCATGCGCCTACCACCACAGAGGCACACAACAAACCTTACAGAATGCAATAAACCTCAAAGGATGGTGGTCTAAAACATAACTGTACAAACTAGATGTGAAAAGGAGGAATGTGGGGGGGCAAGAGCCGTGTGAATTTTCCACGTTTGGTGTGTTGTTTTCGAAACATTGAGAAAAAGCAGAAAATAGGATGTTTTTTTGTTTTTTTACAAAATGCAATTTATCAGTGTACAGCATGTGCTTTAGAAGCAACAGAATTAATAAGCTCATAAATTGTGCTTCTGTTTCATTTAATGAAGTTTATGAACAAGCATTGTGATTAACGCAGTGATTAAATACTTCTGCAACAAAAACATAAACCAGGATTTGGAAACAAAGCACGGAGTACAGAGTGAAATGCTCGTTACAGCACATGTCTGATTCATGTCGGAAAGAACGGAAGAAAATATCTTTCACCTTTTGAAAAAAAAAAATGAAGAGTAAGTAATATCAGGTGGTTCATACTTGCCTTATGGCTTTACATTTTAGATTTACCGCCACAGTGGTGCAGCTTAATTCTCTTCTCCCTGAAGACTTCACTGACATTTTCCAAGGGCTTGCTTTCAAACTCTACTTTGATTAGTCAAGCAGATTTTAAAAGGAACTAATCCCCTTCCCTTCGAATTTTCTCTCTTTTTTTTTATGAAGCAGTCAGCAATAAAGTCAGCAATAATACAGAGTAACACAAACGGAAATCTGAAAATGATGCCTATATCTGGCAACAAACAGGGTGCTGATGCTGGTAACTGATCATTACAAGTGCAAAAGCAATGTCGTCTTAGATTTTACTCTGTTCATTAGAGTCACTTCAAAGGAAAGTACTGCCTCGGCTGCTTCGCTCGGAAATTGTCTAGAGACTGCTGATAGTTAGCTATTCACTTTAGCCTTGACACATTACTGAAGGCAAACCGCTTTAAAAGAACATTTGTGGAATAGCTAAGTTTTTCCAGCACCACGTAAACATACATCTCGAACCTCTACTCCCACTTAAAGTCGTGCCCCACCATTTCATAGAACTTGACATTATAAGGTCGATAGAAGTCTCGCAGTTGCTCAATAGCGTCTCGGTCTATCTGCACATGAGTCCTCCCCTTTGACTTGCCAAGGCAGCGGGGCGAGCCGCTGCTCTCCGGCTTTTTAAGGCAGGGAAAACCCTTGGTGCGGTTGAAATAGAAGTGTTTGTCGGTGACGATGCGTTTCAGCCCAAGAAAGTCCTGCACCCGAGCCATCTCCCCTGCTGGGTCTGTGATGAGACGCTCTCCGCTCACAAAATGGATCTGAGCCAGAGGGAAGTAGTGGAGCCAGTTTTCAAGGTGCAAAGCATACAAGCCGATCCGAATGGCGTTCCAGGACATGTCAACGATTCCCAGGCTCTGATTCCTGAAGGCCAGGTCCTGGAAGCTCGGCAGGTCCGGCGTTTTGGATAACGTCTGAGTGTAGTCCGATATTGCTCGAGTGACGGGGTCTCGCACCACCTCTATGAGCTTGGTGTCTTGGGACATGGTAGAAATCCGGTGTGGTGTCTCTTTTGTCACAAAGTAGCTCGGTGTCTTCTCCATTGTGATTTGGCTTTCAAGAGTTCTTGGCATTAAACCTCTGAATGAAAGATGAAAACACAGAATAGACATTTCTCATTTACATTCATTTAATTTAGGATTTCTTTTAAAAAATACTAAACATTTGAGCGCTTAAGCAACCTTAAAAGCTAACAGGTTCAAAGGAAAGGTCACAATGCCCTTCCATTTCCTTTGTCAAAGTAAAGAAAAAAATCTATGTAACATATCTATTTAGGGCAGGATTACACAAGTGAGTTGTAAAGGCATAAAGCTACCCTAAGTGAGCTTCGGTTTGGCCGTGAACTCAATTTCTTGATGAAAATCATAATAGGAGCACTGAAGCAAAGTTGTAGTAGTCTGTTGTCACTGGAGACTTGTCTCACAGACAGCTCTCCTGTGCATCAGGCCTGAATGTTTCAGGAGTAATAAATCACCACGAATGCAAACAGAACACGTATAGCAGCGACTCTGTTCGGTGACTTCTTCAAACTAGGCCATTCTTTAAAGAGGTGATATGAACAAGCAGGGCTTCGCTGAGAAAAACTTGAAGATTGATTGGAAGTTCTAGAGGAGAGAGCGGTTAATGATTATTTTCATAGTCAATTAATTTGCTAATCTTTATTTCACTTCTGTTTTTTCCCCAACGAATCCATTTCAAAACCTGTATTTTTTCCAGTGGTCACCGGAATAGTGGTCACTGTTCTTATAGACTGTTTTTATTATTAACAGTCTATAAGACTCAAATTTGATTCAAAACCTTAGGAAATATTTTCTGATCAGTTATATGACTAGTTTTCACTCTTTATTGCTGTGGCGCATTTACATTAAACACAAATCTGACAAAGGATCTTTTTGATGTGGATTTGGTGCAATTTCCTCAATTTTTCAGTCAGAGCAACTCCTTGCTTGTCAAGATGGCATCAAAAAGCCAGTGGGTGATATCATGTTGTCTACATCCATCTTTTATATACAGTCTATGGTTCTGTTAAGGCGCTTCTTTCAAACCATCCATTTAAGTGATCTGAGGTTGTATTTATTCTATCATTAGCTGCAATTTTCCAAAGAATGTTAAAATCTAAAAAATAAATAAATAAATAAACGGCAATAATACTAACAAGCTCGTGGACATATGACAACATCAAAATTGACAGCAAATTTGTCTCAGCTGTAGAGACATGGCCAACCAAGCCACCATCTGATGCTTAGTAAGATCACTTCAGACATCTTTATTCCTTCTTCTTGTTATTTTTGCCTTTGCATAGACATTGAAAAAAAAACAACATGTTTGTGGCACAATCAATTAGCAAATTCAAGGTGACAGTCCACACCGTTCATTTTGATTTATGAACGAATGTTTACAAGGAAGCTTCCGGGAAGCAGCTGTTTTATTTTGAAAGCAATCGGCGTCTGACCTTTTCTCAACGGCTTTGACAGCTGACAATCAACCTGCAGTAATGGGCGAGGGTTCACATCTGGAAGACACATCTCTGAGATAAAAGGGCTTCAACTGCCAACCATTGTGAAGAGTGCCAATTAGTGGAGATACTTTGAGTCTGTAATTATTATATAATACTACTGATACACATCCCTCCTGCAGCTTACATGACAGTCTATCATTAACATGAAATGCTCTTGAAAGAACCGGGGGATAAATACGAGAGCGCATCTCTGCGTAATTGCTCGTCTGTTACTGTATGCATGAGAGTGTGTGTGTTTTTTCATTTTATCATCAGACAAACTTGTGTTTGCATACATATGCTTCCTCTAAATCTGTGCAATTATGTGCATGTTTAATTTATGGCTATTCGGCTTGATCATCAGTCAATCGAAGCAGTTTGTTAGGGATGCACTTTGTCCCTCCGCCAGGGTGAGAGCTGAGGATGTAGGTGATCAGTACAGTTTGATCACCAGTCAGAAATAGCACTAGAGACGCACAATCACAGCGGTGTACAATGTCTTTGCCAGAACAGTGCGGCACCCCCCCCCCGCCACACACACACACCACCCCCCAATAAACTACCAAGGTGAAAATCATGAAACTCGGAGAATTGGTGGGGCACGGGCAAAGGAAGAACCCATTAAATTTTGGAGCAGATTTAGATCGCTTCCTTTTAACTTGTGAAATGGAGCACTGACCTTGGCTGAGGATGCGCTGTCTGAGTGCCCCTTCTAGTTTAAGGTGCTTTGGGTAGCATTTGAAAAATCAATAAATAATTCCCTTTCATGGCTGTCATGTTTAAATATTATAAGAAACAAACAAGACTACAGCTGAGATGTCTAGGAGTTACAGCGGGCATGCAGGACGCTGTTTGCACTGCTCGCCTCCAGAGGTTGGATTTTATGAGAAATTTGATGAACTGCTCTACAGTATGTCAAAAAAAGAAGAAAAGGGAGAGAGAGAGCGCGCCACTCTCCTGCCAGTATAAACACAGCACATTCCTCAGAACTTCCCTGCAATAAAGCTTGAAGTGAGTCAATAAACTGCAGAAAACACATCCAGCATGTTTACCCAGCTCCAAGTCTGATATACACAAAGAAGCACCAAACCAGAGGGTTCATATTCATCACTGATTTTTTTAAGGTAATCAGATGATTTTACATTCTGTTATTATATTATATTGTCTCTTTCCCCCCATGATTCCTTACATTTTCAATTTTTTTTCTCTGTAGGAAATGTAAGTAAATATTAACCACTGCAGAATTTAGACCAGGACGGAGGGGTGAAAACAGATTCAGGCATAAAACAGAAGAAAATGAGGCGCTACACCGCTTACCTGAATTCCACTGTAATTCCCTATGTACCATGTGAAGGCACACGGTTATATTGGCCTGCAATCGTTATGACCTTTTAGAAAACGAAGCTGGAAATATAGTGTATCATTCTCCATAATTTACTATCATTAACATTTAGTTTGGTGGGAGAGAAACGGCCTAATCAGATATGCAGAATTATGCAAGCACAGCTGACTAGAAGCCACAAATTTCCAGACACACTCGTGGGTCTCTGCGGGAGCAGCAGCCACGAGAAAAGGCTGCTCTTTGACCAGTTTCTAGATTACATAAACTAGTTAAATTAGTTAAGCTAAAACCACTTTAACCAAGAATCTTAAAGTCAGATATTGTGCAATAAAAGCTGACTGAAGTCCAATCTGGTGTAATTTCCTACTTATTACTATGATTTCTGATAAATTGCGGGATTTGTGGAGCAGATGGACACGCACCTGCACAGGTGAGACACACGTTGTCTTACCTGTACCACTCCAGGCCTCTGTCATAGTTCCTGTCGAAGAAGTGTGTTTCGGTTCCCGCCGCGCGCACATCCGGATGTATTCTTATGAACTCCAGGACGGCTCTCGTGCCTCCCTTTTTCACACCGACTATGATGGCATTTGGTAACTTTTTATTGCCAAACTTTAAATTGCTCATAGGCGGGCTGGGCGTGCCGTTCCCGGCGGTGTGATGAGCGAAATGGGGTCTTTGGTCGGCTTTCAACCGAGACGCCTCAACAGCGCTCAACCTCGCGTCCGACGGTAAAAGGCAGGAGAGGGATTTCTGAAGGCGCCTTTTGGCTCCATCTGCTCGCTGACAGCTGGGCGTCGGATCACCTGACGTTTGCATGATGGCACCGTCAGGGAATAGAGCGCAGTAGAATAAATATGAAAGGAAAAGGGATAACAAGCAGATGGACGTTCCTCTGAGCCGGTGTGAGAAGGGGAGAAGTCGACCGAAGAGGAGCACGCATGCCATCTCTCCATGAGTATGAACAGTGCATGATTTTTTTAATTGATTTTTGCGTTCCGTCCTTTTATGATTGTCTTAGCGGCTCCACGGGCTTTAAAGAAGAAAAACAGCAGACTTCAAGTCTGTTACCACAGTCCATCTGAGTCCCATCGCTTCAGCTCCTTACCTGAAAAGGTATCTTTCCCTGCGCACCGAGTTGCGAAGCCATCCTATTTTAAAACTCCTGGACGCGTCCGTGGCCATCACGCAAGGATGCAAAAGCTGTGCGCGCTCTCTGGCAACTTGAGCGGACTGTCAGCTCCAAACCGGCTGAGCGACAGAAAAATATTTCCACACAGTGACGTCACGGTGTCTTTGCATTAAAAATGGTAAAAAAGAAAAAAAAAGAAAAAGAAAAGATAAAAAGTATTCATGTGTCTCCACTTGCTCATCTCACTTTACCTTTTATCACGTTTCATACTAACATCTAAGCTCCGAGTCGACTCTTTGTTCATTTATAGGTAAACATACAGAATGTTTTAAGTATTAATATTTGAAGCACTTTATTAACGTAAAGTGAAACATTTTTGTTAATAAAATCAATAGTATTAGAGCTGATTTACACCAACACACCGGAAAACACGAGAGTAAAAATATCTTTAAATATCTATAATTTAACACTTTAAGATCCAGCAAGCTTTGCTCTTCCTGTTGGACCAATCACAGCACTGGTTCAATCTCTTCTGATGCGGTTAAATTTAAACACACTGAACACAGTTGGGTTTTTTCCCTCATTTTTTTATGGTTCATGACCTTAAAACTGTATCCAGTCAGCAGAGAGTCATTCGAGTGTTCAGAAGGTTGGATAAAATCAACTCTCTAAAGTCCCAATGTGAGAATTTACCTCACACTCCATTACTGGGAAAATTAATCACCACCTACTAATAATCAGTTTCACTTTTAAGTTAAAAAAGGACTATGTGAGACTGATGTCTTATAACTATTCTGGTCTTCATTCATTTGATAAAGCATGATCCAACTTGTCATGCCATCTGAACTTTCGTGTTGTGTCCTGAATTCCCAATTAAAAGTTTCCTTACATTAGCACAAACTGGCTGTAGGGGTGGGCAGATTGATCCAAATATTGATACTATTGATACCAACGCTGATATTTGCATCAGCTCGATACTAGCACTAGTGGATCGATACTTTGTATCCATCCTCTAAGTTAAGTATGTAGCCTTTTTGTGTTGACTGCCAGGCCTATTTTATTTATAGCCTATAGCACACTGTAAAAACAGAAGTTGACCCACACACATTTACATTTCAGGTCTCAACAAACAAATAAACCCTACTTTCAAAATACATGAAAAGCTGAAAAGGTGTTTTTTAATGTGTTAACTAATTATTGTGAAAAGCCAAACTTAAGTGCCAAACATAAGCTGCCTTCATAGGTTAAAAGTATCGGTATCGATATTGGTATCAACAATACTGTCCCTGTATTTACTTGGTATGGGATCAATACAATATGACACATGTTGTAAGACTGGACTTTCTGTGGTCTCAGGGCCTCTTTGGACTGGTTTAGTTGTCCACTTTGCTCCTTGTATTGTTTCCCAGCTTCTATATCAGTAGTCTTGTTCCTGATCTTGTTAGACCTCCCCTCTCCTTGTAGCAGAAGTAGGCATTAAAGCATCGTTGTGTGGTCATACACTTCCTGATGACAAAAACAAATGCAGACAAGCTCACAGTGGAAAAAGAAGAGGATGAAAGCTCCCCGGACTGCAGAGACGCATGGGGAGGAGTTGAGGTGTCACAGTGGTGCTCCTGCGGGTGTCTGCGCCCAATCTGAGAAGCCTCTGATTAAAGAATGATTTATAGGGGCTGGTTGGAGAGACCCGCTTAGCAATCCGTCTAGTGAATGAGATTTTTCCTCAGGAAGAGGGCGGGTAAATCAAACCTCGGGGTGAGAAGCCTGCTATGCTCAGCGATGGGGCGCAGTGATTAAACGTTATAATCACCTCTGCCGCGTGCACAGCTTGACTTTTCAGTGGAACAATCAAAAATATTGTTGAGGAAAATCAGTTTAACCTCAGTTTCATTTACTGAACATACGGTTTATCTTGTTCTAGCTCATTACAGAGAAGGACAACCTTTTTTTTGACTGATATAAACTATGACAGAAGTGCAATGTGGAACAATCTAGTCAGTGCCATTTTTTTAAGGAAAAAAAAAGATATGAAAGACCACCCGGGCTTTCCAGGAGAAAATTTAAAAGTGAGACATTCCCCTCCTTAGCCATTCAGTTTAACTAAGACTCATATTTAGATTTGAGATTCCAGAGAGAGCGGTGGGGGTGTCAGGCTTGACAGCATGAGTCATGATCTATGTTTAAGGAATGAATGATGTGTCTGTAAATGCACAACATATTTCTTAAAGTGTTTGATTGTCTTTGGGAGCTCACTGAATACGGGTGCCAATGACCACTCACTCCATCAGAGGCACGGCTCATTTGTCAGAGGCAAGCGAAGCCTGGAGGGAGGGTTCCTCGGCTTGTCCTGACTCCGATCAGACACTGGGGGAAGATACAGATGAGCCAGGCAACTTTATATTACAGATGGGTGAAGAATCACTCCCACAGTTTCCGTTCACACCCTCTTTGGAAAAAAAAAGTGCACACACAGAACTGTTTTGTTAAGTGACAAACATGTAGTCACACAGTGTTGCTTGTATATCAGGAGGCCAATTAACAACATTTTTATCTTCTTTTTTAATATACGGCTTGAAAGGAAGAATTTATTCTTGACTTCAGACATGCAAATTGCCATTCTGAACACAGCTGAAGGACTGATTCCAGATTTTTAGCAGGTGGCATCATGCACTGCAACTGGTCCGGTGTATTTTTGTCTTCAAATTCCCTTCTTTTTCAACATGCCTTTTTTAGGGGTTAAAAAGGGCATCCAGTTTTCTCCAGCTGTCAAATATATAAGGATCACTGGATAACATTTCTACATGACATCTATTTCCTTTCAGCATGCCCAGCAATGACACAACACTGACATCTGCCGGCCACACTTTGGCATTACAAAGTGCGCCATAACAGATAAGATCGCAAGTGAAAACGAAAGCAAGTCCTCAGCGTCAGGTTCCTGTATCAGAGGCTAACAGTGAACGGAAGAACAACAACATGAATAAAAGTAAGTTTAACTGCTTATATATATAATTTCTAATCAGAAATAGGTTACTACCACCAAGGAGCTTGAATAAATTGTTTTATAGAATATATGTGTGAAAGTGAAACTACAATACTGTGCAAAAGTCTTGGGCCTCCCCGTTTCTTTAAATTTTGTTCCAAAGAGCTGTAATTTCATGTATTTTCTTTTTTGGTCTTAAGTGGTCTTAAGCCATAACTCTCTCTTTTGACGGTAGCTTCTTTTCACTCATTTTCAGTCCAGTCTTTGTAGCTGACCATTTGGAAAGCTTTGTTTATGCCACCTAACACCGACCTATTAGCATTAGCAAGCATTAACAAGGCACCTAACTCAAGAGATGTACTGGTGTTATGCCAACACATAAAGAAAGCGAAGCAAATAAAGTCACTGTATCTTGTTAATAGGTGCCTGTTCCAAAACACAGCATTTGTTCCCATTTTGTTAATTTAATCCTTGAAACACGCCAAAGATAACTCAGCTTAAACAGCATAAAATGGCATTTTTGCACCAACTATGTGACTGCCTAAAAACTTGTTACATGAGTGGAGGACAAAAGAATATGCGGCAAAACCTATATACAACAGGAAGATGAACAGTATCTGAAAGTCATACCTTTAAAATAGGAAAAGAATCCAGCCAAGACCTGACACATGACCTGAGAGATCCATCTGGCTTCTCAGTTGTTCCATCTACTCTAAGGCAAATAGAGAAAAAAAGGCTGAGGTATGCTAAATTATTGAAGAACTGAAAATCAGCTGCAACAGGTCTAATGGAGTGATGAATCCAAATGTTACGCCCCTAGCAGTTGCCTGTGTGGGTGTGTCCTACCATCTCATGCCTTAGGTGCCATCTTTTTCTTTTGTACAGCTGACTCACATCAGCACTAAAGGTATTTAAGCCCAGAGAAAGGTGAGCTCTGGTGCCAGAGAGCTGTGTGTGTTTGGTGGTTGCAGCTAGTGAGCTGTATTTTGTGATTGCTTGCTCCTGCTCGGTGGAGAGGAGTGTGTTTGGTCACTAAACTGTTCTTTGCTTTTCAGTTAACTTACCGATGCCTGAGTTTTTGTTTGTTTCCTTAAATGGTGATAGCGGCTTGCCCGTCTCTTTTAGTTGAGTTATAAATAGAAACTTTAATAAAACTCTTTAATTTAACAATTTTGCCTCCGTCTCCTTTTTCTGACCCGGACACTTTTTGTTACTTTCCCTCATCACCTGGACCCCTTTTAGGGGAACGTAACACCAAATTTGAAATTTTTGGTTCAAATCATTATCAAATCATGGAGGAGGTCAGGAGGCAAGGCAAGTTTATTTATATAGCACAATTCAACAACAAGGTGATTCAAAGTGCTTTCCAGAGATATTAAAAAACAAAAACTAATAAAAAGCATGATTTAAAATTGAAAAGGAGGTGAAACGGTGAGTTGTATCTATTTATCTGTAAAGCATGGTGGAGGCTCTGTCATGATTTAGGGCTGCGTTTCAGCCCCTGGTGTTGGGGGTCTTGTCAAAATTGATGCAATTAGAATTGTAGAAAAGTGGCATCAGACTTTGATTCTCCATCTGGAAAGCACTGTTTTAAAACAGCTTCATTTTTCAGTACGACAATGATTCCAAACACTGCCAATGTAGTAAAAGCACATTAGAAAATACACTACTACAATACTCCAAAGAAAAATACACACTAGAACAGCATCTGTCATGGATTGGCCTCCCGAGAGCCTGGACCTCAACATTATTGAAGCAGTGTGGGATCATCTTGGCAGAGAACAGAAAAAAGACAGAAACATCCAAAGAAGAGCTTTGAATGTCTTTCAAGAAGTCTGGAGAGCTATTTAACTGTACAAATGATTAGAAAGCTGACTAAGAGAGTTCAGACTTTGTTGCAGAATAACGGCGGTCATACCAAATATTGACTTTCAAGCTTGTTACAATTATATTTATGTATTGTATTTCCAGTTATCTTTGCCTATGTTACAGTAAATTCTGCCACTTATTTAATTTTTTCCTTGCTTTTACATTATTTCATCTTGGAAAGTGAAAAGTCATACAAAAGATTAAATTGCTAAGTATAAGAGTTGTGTGTACTTTTGAGACTCCCTGATCTCTGGGATCCTAGAGTAGAACAACAGGGCGGTGAATAATCTGAACTCTGATGCTATTCATTTTTTTCTTCCAACAGAAAAAGTAAAAATTTTTTCACATGTTGATGGACAGACGATGGACTCTCATGAGAAATTTCTCAAAAAACTCTTCAAACGAGGAGCAATAAAAGTGGAGAAAGCTGAAGATAGTGAGGCTGTTATTGTCTTCGTTCCCATTGTCAGTCGTTTTGAGACGGACATAAATTCAGCTTTATCAAACATCTCAGGTAAACACACCACAATCTATGATAAGTGTTTTGTTTGTTTTGGTATTTTTTCTGCACGTTATCACTCGTGTTTTCTGTTTGTCTGTCTCAAAGGAGATAAAAAGGTGATCGTGGTGGCCTTGCATCACACCTATGACCCAAACTACACTGTGCCACATAACAGAAAGATGGACGACAAACTCGTTGTTAACTGTTTGTTTTATGAGAAGAAAGGACTTCTGTCATGTCCTTGCAACAAAAAGGCAAAGAAGATGGTCTGCGAAGAGGTAATTACACAAGTTACGTTGTTTTTTAAGCAAAAAGTGCTGGATCCACAGATACAAATAAACATGGATTCATCTGGATTTGCATCATTTTTACATGTATTGGTCAACAATAATACAGACCAGACTATACTGGTATCTTCACACTGGCTCTGTGTGCCAGGTGGTCAGTATGTTGTTGTATGTTCACGCCCACAGGCAGAGGTGGAAACAGCAGTTTCCACCAGATGTTTTTTGTAATATGAGCCAAATAATCTAAGCTTGCATATAAGATCTTCCCATTTGGAATATTTGAACAGTGCAGTTGGATCAAAGTTCTGATATTCCAAATTACCCATGTCCAATGGGAACACTCTCACTGCCTGCAGTAATTTCAGCAGTATTAGTTGTAGTTTAATTTACCCTGTACTAACTGCGATGCATTCATTATTTATTTATTTTTTGCAGCTGAACCTCCCAGGAAAACTCTGGCAAATAAACAAATCAAAGAAAGATCCTCAAGAGAAGACCACAAAATCAGGAAAAAAAGAAAAGACAAAAAGTGAAAAAAACCAAAAATAATCTGCATAAATTTAAATAATTGCTTAGACACTTCCTCTAGGACTGACGTTTATAAATTGCTTACTCAGCTTCGGTCTGATTGTACTATATTATTAATGAGTCTGCATGAATTTAATTGCTCATTATTTATACTTTTTCCTTTCCATTGTGGCTGATCAATTAGCTTATTTGTTGCTCTGTTACTGAACAAAACATTGTAGCTTGACTCGTGACACATTCTGCTCATTCAAATGTACAGAAAGGTTGCATCACATGTAGCCCTACCATGGCTTAATAAAGGAATTTTATGATCCAGGCTTAAACTGATTCTGTTGTCATCTATTAGATTTCCTCATTCACAGTACACAAGGCTAATGTCAACATGCTAGCATGTCCAAAAACATTAATAACTTCACTTTATAGGATTTAAGGTGGGACTTGACATGAGCTTTGTAATGTTACACTTGTTGGTTATAAATTTATGAAAATTGCTTTTAATTTTTTATTTATCTACAAAATTACAAAAGCAAATTTTCCAGTGTTTGCATTTCTATAGTCCATCCATTCGCTTCAGCTTATCCTTTTCAGGGTTGCGGGGGGTGCTGGAGCCAATCCCAGCTGTCATAGGGCGAGAGGCAGGGTACGCCCTGGACAGGTCGCCAGTCTGTCACAGGGCTAACACACAAGGACAGACAACCATTCACACTCACATTCACACCTAGTGGCAATTTGGATTATCCAATTAACCTATCCCCACAAGCTGCATGTCTTTGGACGGTGGGAGGAAGCCGGAGTACCCGGAGGGAACCCACGCAGACACGGGGAGAACATGCAAACTCCACACAGAAAGACCCCGGCCTGATGGTGGAATTGAACTCGGGACCCTCTTGCTGTGCGGCCACAGTGCTAACCACCGTGCTGCCTATTTCTATAGTACTATAGAATATTTAATCACCTGTTTCCTTCAATCACAATCACCTACTGGCTGTGAATGCACCAGACTATCACCAGTTTCTACATCACATCAAAGTCCAGGGAGCTGACAGGAAAAGACAGACATATACATTGTCATGCCTGCTGTGTAATGTCTGGAAACGTCCAGGTTGCATTGCACCTGTACATGTCTGCTTTTCTGGCTTGGGTTTCTGCAGCAGTGACTTTGCAGCCTTTGACTTCTCCTCCACTCTTCCCTTTGACTGAGGAAGCTTTAATGATAAAGATGTGTAGCGGAATAAGAATGACTTGCTGAAGTGTGCAACATTTGCCGAGGTACCGGCTTGGCACACGCAGGACACTGATATCCCCTGGGACATCTTGTAAATCATATGCTGATCTGTTTGATGGTCTTTGTGTGTTGCTGACTTTGTTGATTCACGGAGGCCTTGCATAGTAATAATCTGCTCGCGGAAGGTTAAAGCTCGGTATTCTCTCATGTATTGACCCAGATTTTTGGCAGGGTCTGTGGTTTATGTCATGATCTTTCTTGGCAATTTCATTCAGTCATTTTGCATTTTTAACATTTTACAGTCACTCTGCCAAATTTTCCTGACACAGCTCTTGAGACTTGCCTCAGGATTCTCTGTACCATGTTTCCTGCAATATATGGTCTATATCAAACCTCCAAGTGCATAGGCACATCTCTCAATGTGTGAAATGTTATGTTACATGAAATGGCAGGGACTCAAACTGAAAACAAACAAAGGAAGATGACTTTATTTTTTCTTTCTAAATTTGAA